GGGCGGGCGCGCCAGCTCGTAGAACTGGCGGAGGTGCACGACACGCTCGCCGTTGACCGATAGCACTCGGCGGTCGGAGAGAGTGAGGTAGCCGGCGGTCTGCTTCGAGGGGAAGCAACGGCCTGCGGGGTGGCAAGCACTGCTGCTGCTGCTGCTGCTACTGCTACAGCTACGACTGCTGGAACTGCTGCAGTGCAGCAGCAGCAGCAGCAGCAGCAGCAGCAGCAGCAGCAGCAGCAGCAGCAGCAGCAGCAGCAGCAGCAGCAGCAGCAGCAGCAGCAGCAGCAGCAGCAGCAGCAGCAGCAGCAGCAGCAGCAGCAGCAGCAGCAGCAGTGCAGCAGCAGCAGCAGCAGCAGCAGCAGCAGCAGCAGTCGCACTCAGGATGACTTTATACTTTCCGGCGGAATGACCCCTCCGGGAGATCGTTCACACCTCGAAAAACCAGAACCCAGAGCGTCTGGACCGATATTCCCATGGCCCGGATGTGATCTGTGGGAGCAAAAGAGAAAGCGAGGCCACAAAACGATTGCGTAAACGGCGTCACAAAGCCCGCCGGTTTTGATCGACAATCGCGAGATCGACCGCCGTCGACCAGAGAATCGACGGCAGCATGCAGACGATGTGCCAGCTTGCACGGCGCTCGCGCCGCGCCGGCTGGCTCATCGAGAGCGCTCTCTGGCTCCATCCGGGCCACGCGCGGCGCCGCGCGTGCCGCGCGCCACTCGCCTCGGCTGGCAGCACAGCGCCAAAGCCGCCTCGCAAACACCGCGCACAGCACCAGCATGCTGCCCACCAGGCAGCAGAGTGCTGCACCGGCGTGCAGCGGACGCTGCGGCGCTGCGGCGTCGCCTCCCCGCCCTGTCCACGGAGCAGACGAGCGGCGGCACGGCCTTCCACCAGCTGAAGGAGGTGCGCACTTCCCAAAGGAAGCACAGGATGCTCCCGCAGTTTACGCAGCTTTGTGCAGCGCAGCGCACGGGCCACGCCACACAAAGCCGACCCTCAGTCTGGCCAAGAGGCTGTCTGCGGAAGGCCTGGCAGCGCGTACTCGCCTCCTCCGCGGCCATGCCCTCCGCCCGGGCGAGCGAGGAACGGGGACACAACCATTTCTGGAAAAGAAAGAAAGAAAGAAAACAGACAACCCAAGGGAGGGATGGGAGGACGGCACGCCGCCACCACACAGGGATTTTAAGGAGAGGAGTGTGATGCGCTAGCCGTCGCCCACCCTAGGGAGTCTGCCTCTTCCTATCTCTTTTCGCAGTCTCTCGCCGATTCTCGCTGCAACCTTCATGCCACCTCGCGGCCGTCCCATTCTCGTCGTTCTCTCCCTTGTCACTTCCTCCGTCGCGTCATTCTCTTCCGCCTCGTCCTGCGCCGCCGCCGCCTGCCGTTTTCTGGAATCGTGTCTCGAAGGAGGATTTTTTTCTTTTCTCCGTGCTTGCTGCGGCGCCCTCGGTTCAGGATGTCCTCCGGCGCGGGGAGCTCCGGCAGCGTGATCCGGGAGGTGTGGGGGCCGAACCTGGAGCAGGAGATGGCCGGCATCCGCGACATCATCTTCGAGTACCCCTACATCTCCATGGCGCGCAGCAGCCCCGCTCGCAGCCGCCGC